CCCCCCCAACTCCCACCCCTCAAAAATAAAATGGTCCGCCCCTAAATGCCCTTTATTACCCTTTATTAAGGCAATTTTCCATTGCAGTCGCTTTGCCCGCGCGGGCGGAGCGGGCTTTGAAAATCTGCTCACGCGGGCGTGACGGGCTTCAAAAACAATGAACGCTTCGCCCGCGCGGGCAAAGCGAAAGTTAATGGAAAACGGCCTTTAAGCCGGTTTTCCACTAGCGAATTTTTCCGCGCGAAGCGACCTTTTTCCTTTGTCTGCATCCATTTTGATGCCCTCGAAAACAGTCAAAATTGCGATCGGCAAAAAAGGGTAGACCTAAATCTGACGCACGTCTTGGCATTTCTTAAAATCTGTTTCACGTCTTGGAGCACTATTAATCACGCATTTACGAATCATTGAAATCGGAATATAACTGGAACGTTATCTCCAGCCGGAAAATTCGAAAGTTGAAGCCAAATTTTAACTCCAGACGCGCGAAATTTGATCTTCAGACACCTAACGTATATACACAATACCCGTCAATTTTTAAACCTTACACCGTAGTGAGTCAATTAATCGAACTACGAATCGAATTCTATAATCGCTGACTTTTTAACAGCTAACAGCACCAAAAAATTCATACTTTTTTGCAAATTTTTGCCGACCTTAGAATGCCGACCTCGTTTTCGAGGACTGATTTTGCCACGTCTTGCTGTCGTAATAAGTGATACCAACAAAGGAAAAGGTCGCTTCGTGCGAAAAAATTCGCTAGTGGAAAACCGACCGCTTTATTGCCTCTTTTACAGAACAGTATAATAAGCAAAAACAACTGAACAACAACGAACAACTAAACAAATTTAATTATAAAGAATTTGCATTGCTGCATGTGTAGTTTCTTTGATGCATGTTAGTCGTGTTATTCGGTTGGAATTCAATTATTCAGGAAGTCAATTTTGGTTTCTCCAGTGGTTATCTTTAGCCAATCCAGTTTTGCCGACTGAGATAATAATTTGCCGATTTGCTGACGAGTGGGGGGGGGTTCCACCCCACACCCCATACCCACCACCTGTAGGGCCGCCCCTGATGGTGTTTTCCTCCCTCGACAAAACTTCTCTGGTTAAACATTCTTCCAGAGCAGCCATATTAAATTTCAATGGAAAATATAACCAGGGGGAGTCGATCTTCAACTTCCTACACCCGAAAACGTTCCGAACGAAGTTTGTGCCATTCTCAATTTCGTATATGGAAAATGGTTCTGAAAACGAAATTTGAAGATCGTTTATGTTTTGCAAAAACGCTTAGGGAACAACAGTTGGCCCTTTGATAAATTTATTAAAGTATATGTAATTTCTAATAAGTTTTTAGACGTTCTTTGGTTTTTAAATATTTATTATGACGAGCTTTCGACTGCCAGTCTGCAGTCTTCAACGGGTGGATTACGTTGAAGACTGGAGACTGGCAGTCGAAAGCTCGTAATAATAAATATTTAAAAACCAGAGAACGTCTAAAAACTTATAATGAATAATCCAGATTTCGCTTCAAACATATTTAAATATATGTAATTTTGTTTTCCAAGCTGCTTGTCAAAATTGAAAAACGAAAAACGGAGTTCAACAACTGATTTTCGTTTTTCTAGAGGTCCTGCGAAAAACGCGGAATAGTCCTTTGATCACGCATTGTTTTAATTTCTGCCAAAGTCGTCAATATGACGTCTGGGAGGGAGGAGGTTTGTAAGCATGATGCCTTTTTTCCTGAAATATTGGGGTCTTGAAAAGGACGACGAATGAGTAACGTCTGATGGGGCCCAGGCCCAGTGATGGATGGATCAAGATTGGGGTGGGGGGTATTACTTATCAAACATGAAACATTTCAGTCGCTATTACGCTAATTAATCTTTTTCTCCAAATTTGTGTGAGGGGGGGGGGGGGGATTTCCGGACATACCACTTTTCAGCAACTTTCGAATTACTGTATCGTAATTTGTTAAATTTTTTGGCAATTATTTCGTAAATTTAGATTTTTAAAATATAAATTGTAATATCTTAATCTTGATTTTCAAAATTGAAATCTATATTTTTTATCTTTTCCAATGTTTTAATTTTAGGGACCCATGATGACAGGGGCCCACAACACATTCTCGTCGGCAAATCTCTCAAAAACAAAGTAACCCTGATTATTTTAGTACATATACAAAGCAAAAGCCCCAGTATACTTTTAAAAACAACGCATGTAGCGTTTTTAATCCTTTTAGTTTTTTCGACAATGACTTGTTTATTCACTAACAGCGACTTAATGGTTCAGTAACTCTTGACTAAAGTGT